CTGACCGTGAATGAAAGGAATCCACAGTCGTGTAAATGAAAGGGGGTTTGCGGGGACTAAGACTTGATGCTTTCTAAGGAAGGTTCTGGGTCAGAACACGGCTTCATTAAAGTTCAATTCTAGCTTACTCCGGAACCACTTCACTCCCAGAAGCCAGGGTTCATCTCCCAGAATTCCCCACCTGGCATTGAGATGCCACTAAGAATTCAGGGACTTGAAGGACGCCCTGCAGATTTGAGGAAGCATGGAATTGCCTTCTCCCTTGTCCTTCCTGTCCTCTTTCCTCCTCTTCTGCTCTTCCTCTAATCCCTCTCTCCTCCCCTTCAGGAAAAACAGCTTTGCTGCATGCGCTGGCCAGCAGCGACGGGGTTCAGATCCACAACATCGAAAACATCCGCCTTTTGTTGGAAGGAGGTGAGTTGCATCGCATTTGGGAAATATTTACCTGGCAGCTTTCCAAGCTAGATAAGGTCTGTGGTCCTAAATACTCCTTTGAAAGGCTGTTTGCCAGGCCTTGGCTGAAGGTGAAGGAGAGGAATCCACATTCGTTTCATAAAAGGGGTTTTGCTGGGACAAGGACTCTCCTCCTGCTTTTTGGGGGTGCCCAGGTCAGAACCTCCCTGTTTTCTCTCCCACTCACCCACCCCCCGGTCTCCCCAGGCGCAGACGTCAAGGCGACCACCAAGGACGGGGACACAGTTTTCACCTTCATCATCTTCCTGCTGGGCGAGACGGTGGGCAGCGACGCGGAAGAGGCCAAGATGATCAACCGCTTCTGCTTCCAGGCCACGCGGCTGCTGATGGCCCACGGCGCCAACCCCAGCGAGTGCCCGCCTTACGAATCCCTCACCCACCTCTGCCTGAAGAGCTTCCGGCTGCATTTCCCTCTGTTGCGCTTCCTCCTGGAGTCGGGGGCTTCGCACAGCTGCTCCCTCCACGGCCCCACCTGCTGGTCCGGCTTCGACATCATCTTCGAGCGCCTGTGCTCCCACCTCAGCGAGTCCGAGGACGACAGCTTCTCCATCGACCTCCTGCAGAAAGCCGAGACCGCCCTGGAGCTGATGATTGCCAGCGGCCCGGTGGTCAAGCTGCCCAGCAACTTCCAGATCGACCTGAGCCACTGCCGCTACCACCAAGAGAAGATCCAGGCGCTGTTCGGGAAATTGAAGCAGCTGGAGAGCACCCCGCCGACCTTGAAGCATCTCTGCCGAGTCTACCTGCGGAAGTTTCTCCAACCTTGGCCCATAGACGTCAAGGTGAAGGCTCTCCCGCTGCCCAACCGCTTGAAGCGGTACCTCCTCATTGATCCGAGCGCGTCTCTGGAGCAGGTGTGACCTCCTAGGGGCGAGAAGCGGACCTCGGTATATCTGCCGTCCCGGATCTCCTCGTTGATTTGTGGGCCAGCGCATGAATGGCTTTAGATCTTGCCATTGTTCCATGTTCAACAGCCGATGACGAGGGGTATATATACCGTGTCTGCGGCAGCACGTTCGAGTGGTGGGTAGGCGGGAGTGGGTTGGGGGCACCTAGAACTTGCGGCGGAATGACATCCCCATGGCGGCTGAACTGGCGGAAAAATCCCTTGGTGGAGTTGTGTACCAGCCGAGGAAGGATTTGTCTCTCTTGTGCCAAAGGATTGTGAGGTTGTGTAGGCTCATGTTGGGGCCCTACTGAACCATTCAGGGTCGAGACGGGAATGCCAACAGCCGATTAAAAGAATGCACCTCTGGTCTTTGCATATTGTCTTGTTGTGGATAAAACGTTGTTCCACTTTGTGATCAATCTATTACAGGTAGTCCTCGCTTACTGGGTTTGGGAAGTCTTCGCTGCTAAGCGAGTCACACCACGTGACATCATACAAGTTCAGTGACTTAACACTGGTAGTTCCAGAAATCCTAGTTGCCATTGTTAGCCAAATCTCACGTGGTCACCGTTGTGTGGTCGTCACTTTCGACATCCCGCTGTCTTCCCCATTGACTTTACAAAGAGGTCCTCGACTTACAATAATTGCGCCCCAAATTTATGTCTCTCATAAATGAGACAGCCGCTCATAAATGAGACAGTTGGGAAGTGAGTTTTCTCCCATTTTACAATCTTTCTTGCCAGAGTTGTTAAGTGAATCACTGCAGTTGTTCGGTTAGTAACGCCGTTAAGTGAACCCGGCTTCCCCCTTGTCTTTGCTTGTCAGAAGGGGATTACGTGACCCTGGGATTCTGCAACTGACATACATGTGAGCCAGTGGCCAAGCGTCCGCATTTTGATCCTGTGACTGTGGTTGTGTGAAGCAACCACAACGTCTGGAGGCAAATTGTTCCACTGGTTAATTGTTCTAACTGTCAGGAAATTCCTCCTCAGTTCTAAGTTGCTTCTCTCCTTGGTTAGTTTCCACCCATTGCTTCTTCTCCTGCCTTCAGTTGCTTTGGACAATAGTTTGACCCCCTCTTCTTTGGGGCAGCCCCCCCAAATATTGGAACATTGCTATCATTTCACCCCTAGTCCTCCTTTTCATCAGGCTGGACATACCCTATTCAAGATACCCAATTCAGGGTCTTCAAACTACAATTCTTGACCCCCAGGGCTGCTGTTCTATCATCCTAATTGACTGTGAATTTTAAGAAGACCAGAGTTGTTTTTTCAATGGGAAATCAAAACGCAGCATTGAGAGCCCACTCATTTTTTTTTCCTCTTCCCTCCCCACCTTCTTTTCCTCTTGGGTCATTTCGGACCGCTGCTCTGGGCCTCCAGTGGAGTTGGCAGCAGATTCGGACAGTGAGGAGGTTGGGGAGGAACCTGGGCCAGTCCTGGAGTCTGGGGAAGGCTCTGATGATGAGGGCTCTGCGTCGGAGGCAGAGAGGGGGCCAGGGCCGTCTGGCAATGATCAGCTGCCTTCAGAGTCAGACATCAGTGGGGCAGAAGAACAGCTGGAGCCTGTTCCCAGTGTGAGTATGTAGAGAGTTGCCAGACGAAGGGAAGAGCTAAAGAACAGGGGGAGTAAGGCCACAGGTGGACAATGAGTGGCCCCTCCCAGAGGGAATAAAAGAGGAGCAACAGGGGAGTGGAGTTTGCAGGAGACAATCAGTTCGCTTAATTTGTTTGTGACTCTCCGAGGCTCCTGGCCAAGTTCTGCAGATCTCGGCCTGTCAGCTCTCCAAGCCAGAGAAGGTCTGTGACTGTAAATCCTCCCTTGAAAGACTTTGCCGGCTGTGAATGAGCAGAATTCACAGGAAATTAATAAAAGGGGTTTTTTGTTGGGAGAAGGAGTTTGCTTCATGCTCTTGGGAGGCCAACGGTCATAACAATTGTTTGATCTTAAACCCATCTGGGGAATTATTTTGTGGCAAAAGAAACTCAGAACAAGCCACGATGGCAGATTCTAGAGATTCAATTCTGCAACTCGCCTGCACCATACAAGGTGTATTCTTTGGATTTCTTTTTTTTTTCCAACCATCATAACAAACCAACATAGGACACTACAATCTGGCTTACCTTTACTTCCCCTCTCCCAGTCTGTTTTTGCCACCCAGGGAACCCAACCGCCTCATTTCCCTCCCTGCTCCCCACTTCTTGAAGACCCCACCCAGCCGATCTCGCCGCTTGGCCCTTCCTCCTGGACCGCTGGGCAGCCGTGGTTTGTCCTGGGGCCCCACGGGGACCCTTGCTGGATCCCTTTCACCTCATGGCTAAGGTGTAGACGTGGTAGATCTCGTCTGGAAAGTTCTCCTGCTTCTCCTGGGCCAGGAGATTCAGCCCCGCGTGCCGGATGATCTTGCAAACCACCTCCAGGTCCCGGCAGACGCTACTGTCCACTTCGTCCATGATGACCCCCTCTTGGGCCATGTTGTCCTTAATGACGACGATCCCGTTGGGGCGGAGTCCCAGGCGACACCTTTGCAGGAAGTGCAGGAGATGCTCGTCCGTCAAGTGTCCTGTTGGGGGGAAGCAGGAAGAGCCTTGTGGGATCCAAGAGGGTCAGCTTTGCTAGGTGGGTGTGACCGCAAATGTAATTCTATTTTACTGCATTGACAGAATCTGGCCAGTTTGGAAGCGCAAATCTCCCAGCGTCTCTTTTACAGCCGGAGAAACGAGGGAGGGTTCCTTTCTGAGCCTCTTTCTCTGCCTATTGTGCAGCTCTGGGCTATGCCGTCTCTTATCTGACTGTTCTCTAAAGCAGTGTTTCTCAACCTTGGCAACTTGAAGATCTCTGGACTTCATCTCCCAGAATTCCCCAGCCAGCATTCGCTGGCTGGGGAATTC